GTTAGCTCCAGGATGTTCTGTAGGAAATATAAGTGAATTAGGAATTGGGACAGAAAATGGAAAAACATCCTCATAGAACCTTATATTCCTAGAGACAAAAATTCTTTTTGTTGTGAGATCCAAAAGTTTGTAACCTTTCTTTCCAAAAGGATAACCTAAAAATACACATTTAACTTATCTAGGATCATGTTGTGATCTATGTGTAGATGAGATTGTAGCATAACAAAGGAAACCAAAACACTTTAAATGCTCATAGGAAGGTTTCTTTCGGAAGAGAATCTCATATGGATTTTTTGGTTTAAAGTCTTTGAAGGAAACCTATTTATAAGGTAAGTTGCAGTTAAAAGACAATCCCCTCAGTAAGTGATAGGAACATTGGATTGAAAAAGTAGTGCCCTACATGTCTTTAACAAATTCTTGTGTTTGCGTTCTACCACACCATTTTATTGTGGCGTAGCTGCACAAGATGTTGTGTGAAGAATGCCATGTGTTCAGAAAATTCTATAGTAGAAATACTAGAACTGAGCTAGAGGGCATTATCTGATCTAATGGCCTTGAATATGGTCCCAAACTGTCTATGAACCATTGCTAGAAAAGATTTGAAAATTGGAAAAGCATTGCTCTTGGTTTTGAGAAGATAAGTCCAATTTCCTCTAGTTGTATCATTCATGAGTTGAATCTTTATAGGGTCCACAAGTACCAATGTGGATCAATTGAAAAAATAGACTTAGAAGAAATTTCACTGGATATGAATGGTAGCTTAGATTGCCTAACTTGAAAACAAATATCACATGGAACTTGAAATTTAGACAGAGACTGAAACTGAAATTTTGAAAGATTTACATATTAGATAAAGGCATATGCCCCAAATGTTTTGTTCCATAAGCTTACATCATTTGGTAGATTAACAGAACAAGAAACTGAATGAGAAACTATCCTATCACCTAACTTATTACAAATCGAAGGAAGTTGATTAACAGGCTGTGTCCCAGACTTTGATTGAAAATTAACTAAGAGGTAGGGTTAAACAAATAAAGTCCATTCCTGATTTCACCAACTACCGCTGGCCACTTCATTGAAGGGCCTTGCAAAGTCACATCAATAGAAGAAAATAATTAGATTGGAAGAGAGTTATTTAGTGAGTTTGTGGACTGATAAAAGATTCAGCCTGAAATCTGAAACAAATAACATATTTGTTATGGTAAGAGCAGGCAGAATATGAACATGTCCTAGTTGACTGAGTTTCACCCTCTATGAGTTTGGAAGATTAATATAAAGGTCCATAGGCAGAGTTTGAATTTCAACAAGCACTGAATAATCATGTGTCATATGTTCAGTTCCCCCTGAATCTATAATACAAGATTGAGGGTAAAAATAAGAAAGACATAAGAGGCAATTAAAATTAGTTGTGGTTATGGTTTTAGTTATATCAGCACAGTTGGCAGAAGCAATTGCCTTAGAAATCTGATCTCCCTATTGTCCAGCTTTGACCTGTTGAAGTACCTGGCAGAGGTGGGTGAACTGCTCTTGTGTTCTCTGTTGTGCTGTTTTCCCCTCCATTCATTGACTGCATAAAATTCTCCTCTATCATGGATGCATTACTGTGAATACTCCCTTGGAACTTTTTGGACTTAGTAAACTTAAAATTTGGTGGGAAACCAACTATCTCGTAATATTTTTCAACTGAGTGTCCTATTTTTTTGCAATAGCTACAGATCTGGTTGAGTTTCCTCCTTCAAAGCTTCATTTGAATTTCCCTGTTCTTAGGTTGGTGAAGCTTTGGTTTGAAACCATGAAGGCAGACTCTAGTGAATGATTTTCGGTGTGAATCTCTTTTGTTTCTCTTCTAGGATCAAAAGGGAGTAAGCTTGATTGACACTGGGGAGAGGGTTCATCATAAGAATGTTACTTTTGATTGGGGCATAAGCATCATTAAGCCCCATTAAAAACTGAATTAATATCCCATCTTGTAGAGATTTCACTATCTTTACTTTTCCTCCACAAAACACTTGCAAGAACAGTTGACACATATGTTCAAGGTATCCAACTCATCCCAGATCTTCGTTACTTTGGTCTAATAACCTTCTATATCTGAGTTTCCTTGAACTAAATCACTCAGTTATTTTTGCAGCTGATAAAGTTGGGCTCCATTGCATTGCCCAAACCTGTCCTCAAGCTCATTCCAAATGTCTCTAGCGGACTTTGCATAGATAACACTTTCTGCAATTTTCTTTGAAAGAGAGTTCAAGAGCCAAGATATTACCATGTTATTGCACCTATTCCAAGCCTTGAGGTGCTTTGAATTCATGTCTAGTTCTAGGTGGCTCCCATCTATAAAACCCAATTTGTTCTTTGCCAAAAGCGCGATAATGATTGCTCTCCTCCCTCCAGCATAGCTCTTTCCATCAAATGCAAAGTTGACAAGAGCCATGCTTGGTGAATCTGGTGGGTGTATGTAGAATGGATGAGAGGCATCAGTGATGACATTCGATGCATTGTTGATGATAGTGGTTGCAGATTCCAACCCTACGTTGTCTTCTTCAGAAGAGGATGAAGGTGCCATTGATGAGAGGAAAACAGAAGAATGACGGAAAAAGTGACTGAAAAGAGGAATGTGAAAAGATCAAAAAGTTGAAAGAAGAATGAAAATCAGTGCAGCCTATTTGGCTCTGATACCATGTTAGATTTTAGGAGAAAAGATTTTCTTTTTCATTGATTGTCATCTTTGTACAGTGTTGTGTTATATACAAGTATTATCTGAATAAGGAAAATAAAAAATACAGCTATGTCTCTACACCTGTCTAATTTCTATTGGCTTAGTACTTATTTATTTGTACTATGTATAGATAGGATATATACAAAATTATTTAACGGGTAGATTGAAATATTCTGAAAGATGTGAATTGTTTCCAGTTGTATCCACAATGCCAAGAAAAGTGGACTAGACTAAAACATGTGGCTTGGGCTCATTCTCACGTAAACATTGGGCCATTATAGCATATTCATTTTTGGCATGTGATCTTGACCCGACTTTGTAACCCAATTGAGACTTATAGCCTGTTTGGCCAAGCTTCTTTTTGGCCAAAAGTGCTTTTTTTGGCCAAAAGCATTTTTGGCCAAAAATTGAGGTATTTGGCCAAGCTTTTGGAAGGAAAATAAGTGTTTTTGAGGAGAAGCAGAAGCAGTTTTGGAGAAGCAGAAAAAAGTAGCTTCTCTCCAAAAGCACTTTTTTGAGAAGCACTTTTGAGAAAAATACACTTAGAAGCAGTTTTTTAAAGCTTGGCCAAACACTAATTGCTGCTCAGAAGTGCTTTTCAAACTAATTAGCCAAACACAAACTGATTCTCACCAAAAGTACTTTTGAAAAAAAGCACTTCTCAAAATAAGCTGATTTTTACAGCTTGGCCAAACGGCTATTATTCTCATTTGTACTTGTGTTTGACTTCTTCAACTTACCCGTTTTTCATCTGTGTTCTTTGTCAGTATCAGCTCGTTTGCTCTCTTGTTAGGGTTCTCAATCTCAACATTAATTGCTTGGCTATGTAATGAATCTGAGTCAATTGACTTCAAAATCTTTCCCTAAATAAACTGCTGATTTGCTTATATTCAAAATATCACAATTTTATTTTATTAAGGAGTGTTTTTTCGTGTCTGGAGAAACCTTATATTCCGTTTCTCTACACCTGATCTCCTGATGAGAGGGAGAATTGTTAAATAACGGAGTTTTACAATTTGAATGAGTCTATCTTCCTCTTCTAACGAGGAAAAAAAATTCAAAAGTCCTTTAATAATGGACAGAGAGTGGAAAAACCGAAATAAAAAAATACAGCCTTTAAAGCAATTTGTTTGATATGCACACATATATAAATATATACATACATGTATACTATATTAAAAACACAAAGCCCTTTAACAAAATATCGTTCGTCTTTTTAACCCTTTAAAAATAGATTTCACACTTATGTCCGTACATAAAGATGTCTAGATATTTAATTTAACTTTTCAACATCTTTTTGTAACTTTTCTGAATTTCTTCAATGTTTCATACACATGTTGTTAGTGTGTGTGTGTATATATACACACACACACTGAAAATATATACACACACACTGAAAAACCACAGATGAAAGAGAAGAGGACCATTTCTTCTTCGCAGTCCATGGTGCATAATTGCTGCTACCAAAACTCCCCTTTCAAAAAATTCATAACAAGTAAAAGACCAAAATGCATAGCAAATTTGAGATTCTAACAAAAGTTTCCATCTTCATTCTTTAGCACAAAAACGTAAGTAAACATAGATTTACAGCTCGCATCTTTGGAAATTGGATTACATAAACGTCAAACTATATTTCGGTTATTAAAGATTCAACCTTTAATTTTATTTTCCATATCTTTCATAAGTTTACCAGAGAAGAAACCAAATTTTCCACTTTTATGAAAGATAAGGGATTTTTTATATTCACTAGTATAAATAAAGGACAAAAATACTCCTATATCCATACTTAAGGGACTATATAAGTTTTTTGTCCTAATAAAATAATAATTTAAGTTATTTTCATAATATGAATGAAATAGTCGTTTTTATTTCTACAAACTATATATAATATTATAGCCTGTCTCAGACCCATATAAAGAAGGAGAATCTACTCCAACAAAAGGAGGATGATAATATAGTTGACCATCAACGTAATATATAGTAATAGTTTTACCATGATAAAATAAATAAAGGAAACCAATATTCACTCAAGCATTCCGGCAATTCTAGCTTTCCATTTCCAATTGAAATATCAATAAATATTTTCTCTTACTACAGAAAATATAGACTAAGCACAATATTGAAAGTTAAAATAAAAGCACATCCAAAAAAGAAATAACTTCACATTTTAGAGAGTGATCAACTACTATTCAAATGTAGGCGTGGCAAATGGGTGGTATTTGGACTTGTCAAGATGCACTGACTCATTAAATGGGCTGATCACTTTCGCAGGCAAGACCTAGCCCAGGATCACCAAGATCACGATATAGTGTCCGCATTACGAATTAATTTCAAGCACAACCACCGGCTATCAATACAAGCATCTGCGAAAGAGGAGACTGGAGATTGACCTTGTCCAACCTCTCCGCAATTGTTCCCTCCTTTGCCCGATGGTGAGACCTCACTTAAGCCCTCAATCCCTCATTGGCGAGCCCCCATTCGCGGTAATGAAGCTCACTGTGACGATCCAATAGGTCGTTTTGAGTACTACCCCTTCTTTCCATATTTCGAGACATCTATTAGCTTCATTTGATATTTTTTGATTTGGGTACAGAGTCAGTGTCTTTTTCCCTAAAATTTTTACGTAAAAATTTGAAGAAAATATAATTTTTTGCTTTAAAAATAACTTGAGTTGACTACAATTAATAATTTAGGTAAACGATCCTGGATTATTATTTTGACGATTTCGGTAGGTCCATATCGTGATTTTGGACTTGGGCGTATGCCTGGGATTGAATTCGGAAGTCCCTAGCTAGGTTGATTTCACTTGTTTTGCCGAAAATTAGCAATTTGAATGTTTGGAAATTTCTAGGTTTGACCGTAGGTTGATTTTATGGCTATCAGATTCGGATTTTGGTTTTGGGACTTGGTATGGGTCCATTTTGCTATTTAAAACTTGTTTGCAAAAGTTGGTGCAATTCGGAGTTGGTTTGATAGGATTCAGATGTTTGGTTGTGATTTTAGAGGTTCTTGAGTTTTCTTTTGAATTTCATGCGTTTTAATGTTCGATTCGTGGTTCTAGATGTTATTTTGGTATTTTGATCGTGCGAGCGAGCGAGTTCGTATGATGTTATTGCACTTGTGTGCATGTTTGGTTTGGAACCCGAGCGACTCGGGTGAGTTTCAGATAGATTTTGGATCATTTTGAACTTGTGCAACAGCTGTTTCTGGTGTCTGGTGTATTGTGCTTCACGATCGCAAAAGCTTCTCTCGCTATCGTGAATGGGATTGGGGCTAGGGCTGGATTGTTCATTGCGAACGCGAGGGGTCGGGTCGCAAACGCGAAGTGAATGGGGGCTTACCTTCGCGAACGCGACAAGCGTCTCGCGAACGCGCTTTATTGGGGTGACCTGGGAAGGGCAGGTGTTTACTCTTCGCGAACGCGAAGGCAGGCGGGCAATTGAGCCTTCGCGAACGCGAAGAGTATCTCTTTGTATTGTCTATCCTATTTAGATTCCTGGATACCACAAAATTACATTAAAATATACATAAAATAAAAAATATATATATATATAAACTCTTGATTGAACTTCTGGTATATATACTAGTTCTAGATTGAAGCATAATTGTTGTACTTGTAAATTGAACCATTGGAATACCACGAGATGCCTATCTCCGACTTTTATGAGATTGAACCTAGTATCTTCTTACCTTAAGGTTGTACTTATAAAACCTCCCATGAAGAAATAATTAAATTAGACTTCAGCAAGCACACACCAGTTTCATCTTAAAAAGATGGAAATCAGCAATAAAAACCAGCTTCTTTACAAACTAAATAACATATGTTGTAAGGGAGAAGGCCCCTGGCATGATGAAGAAGCTGCCTTTGTTTACCAACACTTGTTCTGCTGTGCTGTTGAATTTGTTACTGGATATTATGGATGAACCTAGTTGGCATAGTTCGGAGATCTGGAATGATCAGGAAGGGGATACTGATGGGGGCGGATCTAATGCAAGGTTTACGGGTTCTCGTGAACGGTAGGCGAAGCTAGGAATTTTTCCAAGGGAACACAAATTTGAAAGAAATGAAAAAAAAATTCCGACAAAGGGTGTTCAATATATGTTATATAATAATATTTTATCTATATACACAGTGTAATATTTCGAAGAAGGGTGGTCAACTGACTACGTCCTTGTGACCATGTGGCTTCGCCACTACCTGTGAACCCAGTAACTTTTGCGTAGACCCTGTATTTATACTAAAAAATTATTAAAAGTATAAGAATATTTAGCTTGGAATCCACTTTGTTGATCCAATTATTATGTATATTAACTTGAACCCATAAACATAAAATTTTGAATCCGCCTCTAGTTACAGATAACTACATTTATTGCCAGGAGTGTTTAGGTCGATTTTCTAAAGCATTAGGTGGCAAGACTATTGCTCCTATTGCACTAGAGCAGCTCGATGCTTACTTTTTTTTTTTAAAATTTATAGTTCCATCATCATGATGGAGGAGTTGAGGCGTGACTCCAACCTGCATATATATCAAAAATAATAATTACACGGAGGAGGACGTAGGCCTTGGCCTCCAAGACAGTGTGATAGGTGATAACATCTATCCTATGATACACATTTGAACAAAAGTATTTTGGTTGTGTGTGAAGGAAGTTGTGCATCCTAGGGTAATTTGTAGTAACACTCAAGGATGCTATGTACAAAAAGGTGTGAGAGGGAAACTTGCTGCTAGTTGTTGATATTGATAACAAACTTGTTTTTCTTCTGTCTGAATCTGATGTTAGGGACCCCGTCAACTTCTAACTTCATTGAAGCTCTAACATTCAAAGGTAATGATACAGCCCCATTGAAGATAGAATCAATTTTGGATTCTTCGCTCAGGTTAGCAAGCTTGTCAGCAGAGTTGTTTTCTTCCCTCAAGGTGTGACAAACAAGAAAGCTGAAGCTCTCATTGCACTTAATTTCTCAGATAGCTGAAGGAAGCTCAAAGGTACAAATCTGATGTCTCATTCATGATTATGCTGCAATGATTTTGCAGCATTTAAGAGGTGCTTTTTCGCTAACAAACTTCTTGGATAGATAAGTTTGTTTGCCATTGCCCCTATTAGTTCTTGTTTAATTTTCTTAGGCTATTATCTTGAGCCCATAGTTTCTTTTTTTTTTTTTTAGGTGATGATGAAGTATATGGAGCAAATAGTGAATATGGTTCTGCATGCTTTCCAAGATCCTCATCCTCGAGTTAGATGGGCAGCTATGTTCTCAATTGACTTCTCTCCACATTTGCAAGTACAATACCATTACTTAGTATTGCCTGCATTAGCTGCAGCTACTTCAACATCCTTGAGTGCAGGTCTGACCTATGGTCGATATGACCCCTTTATGGTTATTGCGGACTTTCCAAAATACAATTGCAACTATAAAAAACATAGATTATTATTTGTGATGACCCGATAGGTCATTTTTAGATTTAGCCTCTATTTCCGTATTTCAAGAGCTCGATTAGCTCCGTTTAGTTTTTTTCGATTTGTGTGCGTAGTCCGCATCTCATTCCGAAAAGTCTTTATGTGAGGAATTGAAGAAAATGTGAATTTTTTCCTTAAAAATGGTATGAGTTGACTATGATCAATATTTTATGTAAACAGACTTGAATCGTTATTTTGGCAATCCGGTAGATCCGTATTGTGATTTGGGACTTGGACGTATGCTCGGAATTGAATTCGGAAATCCCTAACTTGTTTTGACTCATTTTGTCGAAAACTAGTATTTTTGAAAGCTGGAAATTACTAAGTTTAACCGTAAGTTGACTTCTTAGCTAACGGGGTTTGGATTGTGATATTAAAACTTGGAATAGTTCCGTATTGCTATTTGAAACTTGTCTGCAAAATTTTGTTTAATTCGGAATTGATTTGACATGATTCGGACGCTTAAATGTGATTCTAGTGTTCTTGAATTTCACTTTGAAAGTTCATTCATTTTGAGGCGATGTTAGTTTGGTGATTTGATTGCGCGAGCAAGTTTGTATGATGTTATAACACTTGTGTGCATGTTTGATTTGGAGCTCGAGGTGCTCGGGTGAGTTTCGGACGTGTTTCAGATGAGTTTGGTTAAGGTTGGAATAATTGGTGCACTTCTGGTGCTGGTGCTCTGCTGCAGATTTTGCATTCGCGAGGTCTGGCTCGCAATTGCGAACAAGCATTTGCATTTGCGAGCATGGGCTGGACTAGGTAGCCTTGCACTTGCGAGGAAAAGTGATCGCATTTGCGATGACAGAGATGCATTTACGACTTAGTGTGTTCTTGGATGAACTTTGCATTTGCGAAGGACTGGTCCACAGTTGCGTAGGTTGGGAGTTCGCATTTGCGAACCTAACGTCGTGCGACTTCTGTAGCTCTGAGACAGGGATCGCATTTGCGAATCTTGTCTCGCATTTGCGATGTTCGCAATTGCAAACAAGACATCACAATTACGACATCCACAGTTGGGTAAAAGAAGGGAAAAATGGGACTTAACTCATTTCTCATGATTTCTCAACCCTGAACACCCTATAGGCGAGTTTCCAAGAGACTTTTCTTCCCAAATTCATTGGTAAGTGACTTTAATCCATTTCTTTTCAATTACCCATTACATTTCATGAGATTTCAACAGCAAGTTTGGGATTTTCATGGTAGAAATTAGGGATTTGGGTAAAATTGGAGATTTTTGAAAAATTGGGATTTAGACCTTGAACTGGGGTCGGATTTCGAAATAAATCACATAATCGGGCTTGAGGGTGAATGGGTAATCGGGTTTTGGTCTGAATCTCGATTTTGACCAAGCGGGTCCGGGGTTGACTTTTTCAAAAATAATCTAAATTGAACCTCTTCCCTTTGTAGGTAGTCTCTAAAGCTTATTTTGAATCATTTGGTCAATAATTTACTAGATTTGGTTGGTTTAGAGGCTTGTTCAAAAGGCAAGGCCAAGGTTGATTGATTGCTTGAGTTGCGGAGTGAGGTGAGTATTGGGTCTAACCTTGATTTGAGCAAATTAGGAACCCTTGAACTACATGTTATGTGAATCACGTGTTAAACAGCGACTATGCCAGGTGACAAGTGTATATGCGCCGTTGTGTTACTTGCTTCCATGTTTTCGTTACTTCATAGTATATCTTGTTACATGACTAATTACTATATGCTTATTTGACTTCTATGCCATAATTGTTACTTGTCATTTAGTTATTCATATATTGAATTATCCATCCCTTCTATAATTCCGTGCTTATTTGCTACTTGTATCTATTTGCTTTTCTTGCATATCTAAATTGTCCTATGCCTTGCTGGTCTTATAGTTTGCAAAAGTTGTTGCCTTCTATAATGTAGATTCGCGTGCATGAATTGTTAATTGATAGTTATCGATGAGTTGGTAAAGAGTTGAGATATTCGAGTTATTTGAGATTCCTTGAGTATTATGTGATCCTTCATTATCTCGTACATTTACTCTCTAGATGTAGAACTTCTTGTAAATTTTGGTTGTTGGTTTGATAATGTTGATTAAAATTGTTTGGGGAGCGGGTTGCACGCCGCAACGGAAATTGAAAGGTAATGGATTGAAATGACGGAATAAGGACGGATTACGATATTGATAGATGATGATATGGTGGGAACGGGTTGTGCCCGCAACGGATTGTATAAAGTTGTACTTGTTTGTGACTGTTGGATTGGTCTTGGTATTTGGGATGAGTTTATATGACTTTCTATTCTGTGCTCTTCGGTAGTTGGACTTTGAGTTCGTTGTTATGAATTAACTGTTTCATTCCCATTCCAAACTTTTCTGTCATTATTATTATTGAGTACATGTTATTGTAATTGGCCCGCCTTAGCCTCGTCACTACTTCGTCGAGGTTAGGCTTGGCACTTACAGAGTACATGGGGTCGGTTATACTCATACTACACTCTGCACTTCTTGTGCAGATACCGGAGTTGGTCCCAGCTGCCCTGAGTGACGTTTGCTCGGATCTAGCTAACAGTGGAGACTTGAGGTATAGCTGCACGACGTCCGCAACCTTGAAGTCCCCTTCTACATCATTTAGCTGTTTATTTTGATTCAGACAATTATGTTTATTTCAGACCATTATCTGTAGTACTCTAGACGCTCATGTATTCGTGACACTAGTTCCGGGATTTGTATTTGGATTTCGTCCCTTATTAGTTTATTACCTTATTTCAGAGTATTCAGTTTTATTATTGTCATTTAATTTGAAATTTTTTAAAAATGGTTAATAGATATAGCTAACATTGGCTTGCCTAGCAAGTGAAATGTTAGGCGTCATCACGGCGTGGGAATTTTGGGCCGTGACATATGTTTTATTGACAAGAGTGCGTGGCATTACTTATGGAGCCTTAATTGCGCAGAAAAAAAAGGGCAGCCCGGTACATAAAGGTGTTAATCGGGCGGGCTGGGACGGGCTGGACAAAAAAAAACGTCAACCCGTACGGGTTCGGGGGGGTTGTTATCGGGCTGGGGTTAACGGGTTGGTGGCGGGCTGGGATTTTTCGGGTTCTATAGGGCCCGTACGGGTGCGGGTTTAACGGGCTCGGGCGGATCGGGCTATATATAATTTTTTTTTAAATTAAGTTATATTTTTCTTTTTCAATGTTATTGAAACTTTTAAGGGTTAAAATTAAAGATTAGAATTGAACTTTTAAGGGTTAGAAATAAAAGAACAAACTAAAAAATTCTAAATTTGAAAATAGAAAGTAAGTGTCTATATAAAAAATATTGAATAAGACTAATATGCAATATAAAAAAATCACAATATTTAAGTAACTTTGATATTTTTATTGAATAATGTAATACTTCAAATTAATTTGCAAGTTCTTTTTTGATTTTTAAAATTTTTGAACTTGCAAATTAAAAGTTTACAACAATTGTTAAAAAAAAAAAAGAAGAAATAGTAAATCATATGTTTTGCATCATCTTTGAAAGCTCTTCCATGTCAATGTGAGGTTCTTGGTTTCCGGTATTATAATCGGTACCATAAACCATTATATCTCCAATTTCTTGGTCTTCCTCTTCATCTACCTCGTCACGCCCTTGATTTCGCCGTTCTGATCTAATCCAATCTCTGAAGCACACTAGAACTTCCAAAGCGTTGCTGCCCAATGAATGACGGGTATCTCCTAGCTGCTGTCTTGCTTGGCTAAATGCGCTCTCTGATGCGACTGTTGAAATAGGCACATTTAGAACGTCTCGAGCCATGGCCGAAAGAACAGGAAACTGATTTGAGTTGCTCCTCCACCAACTCAGAGGTAGAAAATCCTTTGTGAGGGGCTCCGGTGACTTTTGCAAGTAGAATTGGAGTTCATCAATATTCCGGCTACTGGTTTGTTGATGCTCTCCTAGTGTAGACCAAATCAAATAATCTTGAACATTATCATCATCTTCCAAATTTGTTCCAGATGTTGAAGTATTAGTTGAAGGAATATTTGCATCTACAACTGAAGAAGCATCAACAATGTTAGCGTAATAATTATACAAAATTTGTAAATGTTTGTGCAGATCAGAAATACAAGTCTCACTATCAGGAGTTTCAGTTGCTCCAATGTCCATATAAGTATATAAAGCACTGATTAATTGGCGACACTTTATCATTTTGATAGTAGGGTTTAAAATAGCACCAATTAGGAAAATAGGGGGAACTGGGAAGAAATATTTTTTAAACTTATCTAGCATTTGTGCAACAACAGCAGTATATCCGTCTTTCGTCTTCAACTTATGTAGTAAAAGAGAAATTTCAGCAATATGAACTAAACCATTTACAATAGTAGGATAATAAGCTCCGGAAAACTCAAGTGTAGCCACATAAAATTTTTGTAAAAACTTTACAACATCTTCAATGACATCCCAAGTTTTAGATGTTAACAAACGGTTAGGATCGGTACAATGAGAATTAGCAACTTCAGTTATAGGCATTCTATATTTATAACAACATCTTAGGAATAAATAAGTATAATTCCACCTAGTAACTATTTCTTCAGGCATGAGTCTTGGTTTTAGTCCATAGTGTACACATTTTTCCTTAAATGCATTTAATCTAGCACTTCTATTATTTCCTTGAATTACACCAACAGCTCTCCTAACTAAAAAGATTTCATTGTGAAATAAGTCAAGGCCACTCTTCACAATTAAGTTATAAATATGACATGCACATCTAATATGAAATATTTCAGGAAGTGGTGGGTGTAGATGCAATTTTAGTAATGTAATAGCAGAATTGTTGTTAGAAGCATTATCAAATGACATACACAAAACTTTTTCAGAAAGATTATAAAATAAAGCAACTTCATGGATAGTATTACTTATAAATGCACCGGTATGACTTTGATCTTCATCATATTTAAAAGCAATAACACGTTTTTGCATACAAAAATTATCATCTATCCAAT